GACAGCTGATTTTTGACAAAAGAACCAAGAACATACAATGGAGAAAGGAAAGTCTCTTCAATAAATGGTGTTTGGAAAACTGGACAGCCAAGTGCAACAGAATGAGAGTACATCAGTATCTTATATCATACACCAACATTTACTCAAAAGGGATTAAAGACTTGAAAGAAAGACCTGAAACCATAAAAATCCTTGAACAAAATGTAGGCAGTACACTCTTTCACATAGGTCTTAGCAGTATCTTTTCAAATGCAAGTCTACTCAGGCAAGGGAAACAAAAGGGAAAATAAACCAACGGGACTACATCAGACCAAAGAGGTACTACAGGCACAGGAAACCATTAACCAAATGAAAAGACAACCCACCAACTGGGAGAAAATACTTGCAAATCATATATCTGACAAGGGGTTAATTTCCAAACTACATAAAGAACACAGACAACTCAACAACAGAAACACCAAATAACCCAATCAAAAAATGGGTAGAGGATGTGAACAGACATTTTTCCAAAGAAGATATACAGTTGACCAACAGGTACATGAAAAGATGTTCAACATCACTAACTTTTAGGGAAATGCAAATCAAAAATACAATGAGATATCACCTTACACCCATCAAAATGGCTATAATTAACAAGAGAAGAAATAACAAATGTTGGAGAGGATGTGGAGAAAAGACAACACTCATCCATTGCTGGTCTGAATGCAAACTGGTGCAGCCACTATGGAAAACAGTATGGAGATATCCCAAAAATTAAAAAGAGAAATACCACTTTATCCAGCTATGCCACTATTCTACATTTATCCAAAGAACATGAAATCCACAATCCCAAGAGATTTATGCCTCCTGCTCATTGGAGCATTATTAACAATAGCAAAGACTTGGAAGCAACCCAAGTGCCCATCAACAGATGAATAAAGGAGATTTGATATATATATATATATATATCAAATGTGTATATATATATATATATATATATATATACATACAATGGAAAACTAGTCAGCCATGAAAAGGACAAAATTGTGCCATTTCCCACAACACCGACAGCCCTTGAGAATATTATGCAAAGCGAAATAAACCAGAGAAAGACAAACACTGTATGATTTCACTGATATGTGGAAGATAAACACATGCATAAGAACACATTAGTGGTTCCCAGAGGGGAAGCGGGTAGGGAGGGTAAAACAGGTAAAGGGGCACATGTGTATGGTGATGATAACTAGATTTGGTGGCAAACATGATGCAGTCTATACAGAAACTGATATGTAATAATGTACACCTGAAATTTACACAATGATATAAGCCATATGACATCAGTAAGATAATTAAAAAAAAATTATAAAAACTGGGTTGTTCAAGTTTTCTTAGGTTTGAGATTTTTCAAAAGCAGAATGTGGAAAAAAGTACACTTATTCCAAACACCCTCATGATGGTGAATTCAATTATTCTAGAACTCCTGTAATAAAGTCTCCATCCTTTTCTCCTGGAGGCCCGTTTGGAAGCTGTATGCAGATATGCAGGCCTAGGAAGTTTGAAGAGACAGGGAGTATTCTTGTTGGCTTTAGTAGAAAGACTTGTCTACATACAATGTTTACATATAGGAATATGCACATCATAGACATCTAATAAAGTATCTTTCTACCTGAATGTAATGTGGCACAAGTAAACGAAGGACATGCAAAGACAAAGCCAGGTTCCCAGATGAATCATTCTTTCACATATAAACGTAAAAAGAGGCCCTCTTGAACCGACATTCCCCCGGCGCTCCCCAGAATGGGCCAGAATTGGCAGATCTGTGAGGATGGGAGGACGTGGGGGCCGAGTCATCGTCACTCCAATGGCGGAATTTCTTTTCCTTCTGGAGACAAGTCACAAAGGCTGCTTTGGAGGCTTTTGAAGAGGGAAGCTCAGTGGGTGAAAAGACCCTGTGCACGGGCCCTCACATTTCTTGACTGAAACTTCTGGCGGGAGAACAAACGCCCCAACGGGCTCTGTGACGCGGAGGTGCTGGGAGGCCCCAGCGCCCCAGCGGGAGCGAGCGGCACACGCCAGGGCTCAGTAAGTAGGCCCTTGGTCACCCGGACCAAACACACTTTGACTCTCCCTTCAGCCACCAGGCCCTTTGTGCTGGCCTCACCAAAGCTGGGCTGGGCAGGACCACCAGCAGGAAGAAAGTCTCCAGATACCAGGAGCAGCCAAGAGAAAAGTCCTGATCAACAAGTAATCACACTTCCGCTTCCTGCCTGGGGACGAAGGGGGTGGAGCTCTGAGGCTCACACTGTCAGTCAAGAGACTGCTTCAGACTGAGAAATTCTACTGAACGATCACGAGTGAGGGCGGGCCTACGTTGATTCAGCGCTGGCTCTGGAGGCAGAAACAGCCCGAGACAAGGTGGAGGCTAGGACCAGGGCTTCAGGTGAGCTTCAGGCGGAGGGTGGGGCCCGCAGCTGGGTGGTGGTTGGATATGGGATTGTTCAGCAAAAGCTTTTTTTACCTGCTTCACCTCACCTTCCCAGAACCCTTAGAAGGGTTCTCCCCTAACGATCTGCCAGCCTATCCATGAAATAACCTATTTCCTCCATTCTGTCAACCCCATCATTTGGTCTTGTTTCTCCGTTTCTTTTTTATGAATGTTGGACACCATGGTAAACGCTATTGATTCTTTTGCATTTTTAATGTAATGACTATAAATCTTTTTTTTCTTTTTCAAATAACTGTTTTGATCTTTCCAATTTTCCCATATGGGACAGGACATCCCATATTATGTTGTGAAATAGCACCATTACCAGAAATGCTTCACTTACGAATGGTTCTAAAGTTTCTCTCATAACCATGTTTGCTGTAGCTTTCAGTGGGTTGCCATACCGACATTAATAAAGGTCTTTTTAAATCCAGATTTACTAACACATTTTATCAATAATTGATTGTTTACATTATCATATGTATTTTAGGAATCTATTGAATTGATAACTATTTTGCTATTTTAATGTTTCATCCGTTGCTGTACAAAATATTAAATGTCTACGTAGCCAAAGGAGTCTATTTTTTAAAATAAACCCTGGATTTCTTGTCTTGCCTTACAACGTGTCTGAAACATTACATTCGATGCAGATTTCATAATTTTCTTAAATTTACAACTTCTAAAGACATTTAAATATTTAATCATCATCCAATCTATTTTGATCGGGGTATGACGTAGCAGACCCAACTTTATTCCTCCAAGAGGCCAACTGTCGCAGGAGTACTTATTGATGAAATACCTTTGCCGTATGGATTTGAAATCCCACGTTTATTAAACAGTAAATTGATCTATGTACCTGTACTAGTACCAAGACTCTTCTCTACAGTAATATATTTATTATGCCCATGTCATAGCCTTTGATTTTAATAGTTTTAAATTGTTGTCATATGTAGTGGTAAAGAAAACTGGAAGCTACTGTTTGCTGCATCTTACCATGCTAGATGCCTCACAGACATGAAATTTATTATGCTCATAACTTGCCAATGCCGTAGGCACTATCATAATTTTCTCATTTGGTTCTTTAAACAGCTTTACTGATATAATTCACATACTGTACAATTCATCCATTTATATCTATACAATCCAATGTTGTTTAGAAAATGCACAGACTTGTGTAAAGTTATAACTTTAGAATGTTTTCATCACTTCAAAAGCAGCCTTGGGTGTCAAAACACTAATTTCCCTTCTCTCTTAACATACAGATGAACTCAAATCTCCTGTCTCAATAGATTCATACTTCATTACATTTCATGTAAATGAAATCATACAATCTTCTATCAATAGTTTCTTTTCACCTAAGATATTTTTAAAGGTTCACTGTGTTGCAGCATATATGACTCACATCATCTTGGCTTTTGGAGATTTTTCACATGAATATGCCACTTTGTCAGCATTGACAAACGGAAGCTGGGACCAAATCTGCTCCATTTCTCTTGTACAGCACTTATTGAGGATGCTGTCACTAGGAGTTCCAGCAGCAGAATGAGGCCAATCTGCAGGTGTGACCTCAAACACCACCCATAAGCTCTCAGGCTCAGGCAACAGTGACACATTCTGACAGGACCCATAGGTCTTCTTTCAGACAGTTAGGATATCATCTAAGGCCAACTGATGGGCTTACACTGCCCACAAAAGGTTAAGATTACTCTGCTGATCATCAGTGCTGTTGCCCACAATAAAAGAGGCAACATATTGGATAAATTACAATATATATACCCAAGAGCAAATCATAAAATGACATACTCCTCCACACAAATGTAACATTAATATGCACAGAGAATTCTTGATCTGAATTAATTGTTAAGCTTGACTTAGATTATCATAGAGGTTTTTTTTTTTTTCTGTTTTATCTCCCCCAAAACCCCCTGGTACATAGTTGTCTATCTTAGTTGTGGGTCCTTCTAGTTGTGGCATGTGGGATGCTGCCTCAATGTGGCCTGACAAGTGGTGCCATGTCCGCGCCCAGGATCCGAACAAGGGAAACCCTGGGCTGCCGCAGCACAGCACACAAACTTGACCACTCGGCCATGGGGCCGGCCCCAGAGTGTTTTGACTAAGCCTTAAGACAGTGACATTAAACACCTGCACAGGGGCTGGCCCTGTGGCTGAGTGGTTAAGTTGGCGCGCTCCACTGCAGGCAGCCCAGTGTTTCGTTCGTTTGAATCCTGGGCCAGACGTGGCACTGCTCATCAAACCATGCTGAGGCAGCGCCCCACATGCCACAGCTAGAAGGACTCTGAAGGACAATGAAGAATATACAACTATGTACCGGGGGGCTTTGGGGAGAAAAAGGAAAAAAAAATCTTAAAAAAAAAAAACACCTGCACACCTGATGGCAATACTGGATGTAAGCCAAGGCTGCTTCAGCATCTGAAATATGTGATTTTGTATCACTGAAGCTGAAAACACATTGTGTTGGTCTGTGTCCATACTCAAGGGTCACATTCAGGAACTGCCAGTGAGGGCATCAAGCACACCAGATTATCAGGACCAGCTACATTCACGTGAGTTTTTCAATTTTCACCGCCCATGGATAGAACGACAAACACAGATACAGGTCATACCACCTCCAACAGCTGTTGCTTGACTCAGACAAATATCATTGTTTTCCCAGGCTGTGGTGTTGGGTATGGTTGAAAGAGAACACTCATGATTCTCACCATCATCCTGTATGGGCTTGAGATTAAAGATCATCCCCAGGTAGTAGGGTTGTTGTTCACCCACAAAGGCCACAAAATCAGGGTGTCACCCATTATAGGTGTACTCTCTCTTTTTCTCCACTCATCCTATGCTTGAAACTGACTTTTTATCTGAAAGGACCAGCTGTGAGAGGAAAAAGGTAATTTTACAAAATTTATGATGTATTTTAACCATGTTGGTTGGTGTGACTCACTGTGAACGAGTTTGGTGAGCACTCTACACAGTCACAATCTCCACAATGTAAGTCCATGTCAACCCAACAAGATGATCAAGGTACTTATAAGAGGATTAACTGAATTCTGTTGACCCACTTTTAACCAGGCAGCAGCATGGAAACTGTAGCAACTAGACTGCCCTATCACTGGAAAGAACACCTCGGGCACAGGAATGCTCAGGGACTAACCACAATAGCTTAAAACAGATCAATCAAACCACCCAGAATGGTGTGCCTCTCAGAAGACCCCAAGATTCACACTCACGGTAGCACTTCCTATATTTCTTATATTCCCACAATCTCTTGACTGTGAATAACCCCATATTTATTACAGATGAGAAATAATCTAATGGAAAATGATGACAACTGTACATTTTTTTACATTCATAAAGTTTTTCTCCACAGTGAGATCACAAGTGAACATGACCAGAACAGTTTTCCCACATCTTACTTCACTTGGTTTTCTCTCCACTGCAAGATCTCATATATACAATAAATGTATATTTCAATGAAAAAATATAGGGAAGGGCTTTCCATGTTTCTTAATAGGATGGCATCACTGAGAGTTCTCACAGGCTGGGCTGTGAGGAGATTCTGATGGCTCTCCCTCATTCCTTACATTCGAAACCATCTCTGCGGTGTGGTCCTTTCACGTCTTTGAAGTGAATCAGGACTACCGAGGGCTTCACCACATTCCTTACGTGGATAGGACTTCTCTCCAGGTGAGTTCTTTAATGACTGAAAGGAAGTGGGAAAATTGAAGTCTTTCCCATATTCCTTTGATTTATAAGGTTTCTCTCCAGTGAGAGATTGTAAACTATATTGTATGAAGAAATGGCCAATGTTTTGCAACATATATTACTCTCAATAGGCTTCTATGTAGTGTGAGTTCTAACAGGTTTATTAAGATGTGAGGAAGTATGAAAGGCTTTCCCATGTGTGTCACATTTAACAGGCTTCTCTCCAGCCTGAGTTTTTATGTGGGCAATAAAGCATGAGGATTGAGGGAAGGCTTTCCCACATTCTTTATTTCTCTCCAGTGTGAGTTCGCTTGTGAATGATTAAGGATGAAGGACTTGTAAATCTTTTTTCACATATACTACACACAAAAGGTTTCTGTCCACTGTGAGTTGTCAAATGGTAACGGAGACTTCTGGAATCAGCATAGGCTTTCCCACATGTGTCACATTTAAAAGGCTTTTCTCCACTGTGAGTTCTCAAATGGTAACGAAGAGTTGAGGAAACAGCAAAAGCTTTCCCACATACCTTACATTCAAATGGTTTCTCTCCAGTGTGAGTTCGCTTGTGCAAGACTAATTGTGAAGAAGTTGCAAACCTTTTTTCACATAGATTACACTCAAAAGGCTTCTCTCCACTGTGAGTTCTCAGATGGTAACTAAGAGCTGAGGAAGTAGCCAAGGCTTTCCCACATACCTCACATTGATAGGGTTTCTCTCCAGTGTGAGTTCGCTTGTGAGCGGTTAAGGATGAAGATCTTGTAAATCTTTTTTCACATATACTACACTCAACAGTGTTCTCTCCACTGTGAGTTTTTCTATGGACAATAAGGTTTGAGGATCGACTGAAGGCTTTCCCACATTCCTCACATTCATAGGGTTTCTCTCCTGTGTGAATTCGTTTGTGAGAGATTAATTGTGAAGAAGTTGCAAACCTTTTTTCACATAGATTACACTCAAAAGGCTTCTCTCCACTGTGAGTTCTCAGATGGTAACTAAGAGCTGAGGCAGTAGCCAAGGCTTTCCCACATGCCTCACATTGATAGGGTTTCTCTCCAGTGTGAGTTCGCCTGTGAAAGGCTAATTGTGAAGAACCTGCAAACCTTTTTTCACATAGATTACACTCAAAAGGCTTTTCTCCACTGTGAGTTCTCAGATGGTAACTAAAAGATGAGCAACTAGCCAAGGCTTTCCCACATTCCTCACATTGATAGGGTTTCTGTCCAGTGTGAGTTCGCTTGTGAAAGATTAATTGCGAAGAAGTTGCAAACCTTTTTTCACATAGATTACACTCAAAAAGATTCTCTCCACAGTGAGCTCTCAGATGGTAACGAAGAGCTGAGGAAGTACCAAAGGCTTGCCCACATTTCTCACATTCATAGGGTTTCTCTCCAGTGTGAGTTCGCTTGTGAATGATTAAGGATGAAGGACTTGTAAATCTTTTTTCACATATACTACACACAAAAGGTTTCTGTCCACTGTGAGTTGTCAAATGGTAACGGAGACTTCTGAAATCAGCATAGGCTTTCCTACATGTGTCACATTTAAAAGGCTTTTCTCCACTGTGAGTTCTCAAATGGTAACGAAGAGTTGAAGAAACAGCAAAAGCTTTCCCACATACCTTACATTCAAATGGTTTCTCTCCAGTGTGAGTCCGCTTGTGAACAATTAAGGATGAAGGACTTGTAAATCTTTTTTCACATATACTACACTCAACAGTGTTCTCTCCACTGTGAGTTTTTCTATGGACAATAAGGTTTGAGGATCGACTGAAGGCTTTCCCACATTCCTCACACTGATAGGGTTTCTCTCCAGTGTGAGTTCGTTTGTGAAAGATTAATTGTGAAGAACTTGCAAACCTTTTTTCACATAGATTACACTCAAAAGGCTTCTCTCCACTGTGAGTTCTCAAATGGTAATGGAGACTTGTGGAAGCAGGAAAGGCTTTCCCACACGTGGCACATTTAAAACGCCTTTCTTCAGAGGGAGTTTTTTTGTGGTGAACAAGGCCTGAGGATTGAGTGAAAGCTTTCCCATATTCCTTAAATTCATAAGGTTTCTCAAGAGAGTGACTTCCCAAGTGAGCATTAACAAGCACAGAACGCTTAAAGCTTTTCCCACATTCCTTACAGATAAATGGTTTTATTCCAGTGTGAATTTCAATGAGAGAATGAGAGTATGAGATCCCTTCAGAAGATTTCCCCCATTCCTTACATTCGTAATGGCTGTTACCAGTTTGAGTTTGTACACGCACAGCAAGGCTTGTGGAGTGAATAAAAGATCTCCCATATTCCTTCCATTCACACAGTTTTCCTCCATTGTGAGTTCTCGTTTGGGCCTGAATGTAAGACTGATTCACAAAGGCTTTCCTGCCATGACTGCATTTGAATGCTTCCTCTTGCATGCTAGTTTTTGAGTACGTAACATCTGAACTCAGGCTGATGGCTTTTCCCCACTGACTAAACCTAGAAAATTTCTCTCCAGTAGAGGTTTTCGTGTGTAGACCAAGGAAGCGTTTTTCATGCTGATTATCCTCATGAGCGTTCCCTCCATTCTGAGTTCTCCTCTGGGTCTCAAGACATGAATGTTCACTGAAGACTTTCCCACATTGCTCACAATCATAGAGTTCCCACCCACTGTGGATTCTTTCCTGTTGATGAATAAAAGAATGATAATTCAAAGATTTCTCAAACTCAATAATTTATCTTACCCATCTCAAAGCAGAAGCATCATTATGATGATGATGATTTCCATCGTTATCATTACACTCATACACTTCCTACTGTGTTCATTTCTTTCAAGTTTAAGGATGGAATCTCTCTGCCAGAACGATATGCCATCTACTCAAATCCTAAGATTCCTGTACGGTCTTATGGTATTGTTAGAAAACTCAATGGCAAATTACATAAGTGGGAATGAGTCATTCTTGGAATTCTGAAGCAACAACTTTCAAGTTAGGTTTAAAATATTCCCAAATTCACCATATTCACAATACCTCTCCAGAGTCATTGCTCTCTCTTGGGCCAATGCCACTCATCTCAAATATCTATCACTTGCTCTCGTGTTCTATCTAATGAAAATCCCAACCTTTTCTAAACGTGGAAAATAAATATGTCTTTTAAAACTTACCATTTCTATACTATTGGATGCTTTTCCCCAAAACATACCCTGCTGAATTGCTGAGTCTTTGGTTTTAAGTTGAATATCCCATTCTAAAATAAACAAGGAGAAAATATGTAGGAATTTACAGACAGAAATGTACATTAAAGGGATTAAGAATAGTAGGCTCATTTGTATTATTTCTAAGTTAAACATATTAAATAAAAGATAAGACAGATTCAAGGAGTTTGACTTTGCCAAAATTTTGGAATAAGGATGTGTACTCAAAGATTCAGCAATCAATTAGAAGAATTCTATGGAAGTTAAATATGATGGGGAAAAGAGACAGAATATCATCAGGCAAAGAAAGTAGGAAAGTTCTGGACAAAAAGCATATACCAAGTGATTAACTTAAAAGACAAACAGGACAAGGTTTTTTTCTGAGATCATAGGAAACTTTGACCGAATGTAAAGTAAGAATGTATGAGAAGCTCATGATATCCCAAAGCATCAGAGAACACTGACCTCAGCCTTCAAGAGAAAGCACGTCTTAAAGTTTCCTCATTGTCATTCCAAACATCGTGAAATTTTCATTGACCAGCGAAGTTCTTCACGATGACTCACCTTGGAAGACTCCAGTCTCCACTGTCCCCAACTCTTCTTCTTGTTCCAACCAACATATCAGATTGGGTCTGAACAACTGATACTCTGTTCACAGGAAAAGAGATCTTAATGGGAAAGGCCTCTAAAACAGATGACAAACGTTCACATGAAGCAACTTCTAGACTTCTAATGAATGAAGTAAAATAATTTCAAAAGAGAACAAAATGCAAATATGCTCTTTCTGTGTTTCAAAGAGACTGGTTGTCTCTGGCCCATGAAACCCATGTTCAAATGTATATATTTATATATATATAAATATATTACAAACTATTAAGACTTATACTGAAGCAAGAAATAAAGTAAATGCAAAAAGAAATGTTCATTCTCGTGGAGAAACCACTACACCAGTGGTTGTTAAACTGTGTTGTCCAACAGGATCACATCCACTGTTTTTGTTAAAACAGAAATGACTGGGCTTAATGCCAGTTTCATTCACTATGTTGAAGGTGGGTCTGAGAATGCACATTCTAACAGAGTGATGGGGATGGTGTTAGTCCTAGAACCACAGTTCTATGGTTCAGTTCACCCATTAGTGTAGAGATTCATGTCCGTTAAGTTCCATGAGCAGATTTCACATTTCCAATACTGGAACTGGGAATATATCTTTCCCATAAGAGGCTACAGGAAGGATGGCAGCCTTACCTACTGTGGTCAGGTTCTTGTAGGTCTCTAGCATCACATCTCTGTATAGATTTCTCTGAGTTGGGTCCAGTAAAGTCCACTCCTCTTGGGTGAAGTGCACAGCCACATCAGCAAAGGTAACTGAGGCCTAAATCATCACACATAAGCTGGCTTCAGTAAAGTAACATCTCCAGCAGTGTTCACTGGGGAATGAAGATGGGAGATCCAACGACAACAGAGGGTGTCTAGGTCTCTTATCATATCCCGCAAGGTGCGATGAAGCTTGATCTACACTCACTCATGGTTGATATCTTCCAGTTATGGCTTTAATGGAACCTATGACACATGAACTTATTTGACCACAACTAGATGGACAGCTCTTCTCCATCTTATTTCCCTCTGGCAGCAGAGTCCTAAGGAGCTGAAGAAGCTGATGAGCGATTAAATTCTTTGATAAATGCATACTTTTATCTTTGTTACCATGAGAGCAGGCAGCAAAACGAAAAAATATGCAGCTGCCATCATAAGAGACAACAGTAGATGGTAATTATCAAACTACTGAGATTATTCACAGGAAACAATATGAGAGGCTCCATTTTGGGAGGGAATTCAGCAGGGACTCAGTCCTTGAGTGGCTTCATTTCTTTTAAAAGCCCTGGTACAGGTGTATCTAGAAAGAAATCTATTTTGTGGATGCAGTATCTCATTTTGTAGAAGGATACACCTTCTAATTACCTGAGAAAAATTTGTCAAATACTCAGTCACCATCCTTTCTGCCTCTATCTTTTCCTCAGGAAGGCAGAAAGGGTCCTTAGAAAGCAGACCTAGGAAAAAAGAAAAAAGGCATGAGGACCCAGAGATGACCCTAATTTCAACATTCACCTGCCTGGAAGTCATTCCATTCTTGCTTGAAATTCTGAAATATCCCTGCACACCCAAGAAATCTCACACACACACACACACACACACACACACATTACTGCCATCAAACATCACAGAGGAGTCCTGTCTCTCCTGGAGCCACAAAAGGGAATCGTGTGCCATGGTGCCCATCAAGAAAAGTATAATGGTTTCATTCCACAGGGAAGGAAAGAAGTCCTGAGGAATGTGACTCTTCATTTGTCAAGGCAATACACTTGCTGAATCAAGCAGCCACTCTACCTAATGCATTGTATACCAGGAAACTGATGTAGAGAACAGCATTCTCTGGCCCACTTCAGCTCCTCCTACACAAACCAGCAGCATGACTGCTCAGGTCCAGACCAAAGGACTCTGTGTCTTGAATGTGAAACTGAAAGCCAATACAACAGTATGCTCTATATCAAGGGTATCAGTGGGGCCGACCCTGTGGCCGAACGGTTAAGTTCACGTGCTCTGCTTCGATGGCCCAAAGTTTGGCCAGTTCAGACCCTGGGCATGGACATGGCACTGCTCATCAAGCCATGCTGTGGCAGTGCCCCAGATAGCACAACCAGAAAGACCTACAACTAGAACATATAACTGTACTGACGGGCTTTGGGAAGAAGAAGAAGAAGAAGAAGATTGGTAACAGACATTAGCTCAGGTGCTAATCTTTAAAGAAATAATAAAAATCTTTTTTTTAAAAAAAGAGTCTCAGTAACATCAATTGCCATTTACTGAGGACCATGTGTACTAGATGTCTCTCTGGAAGTTGGTAACTCACATATATTTGGAACCACTTACTCAAGTTGTGTGAATATAGTCTTTCACCTTTCTTTTTCTTTTTAATTTTTTTTTTCCTGAGGAAGATTAGCCCTGAGCTAACTACTGCCAGTCCTCCTTTTTTTGCTGAGGAAGCCTGGCCCTGAGCTAACATCCATGCCCATCTTCCTCTACTTTATATGTGGGACGCCTGCCACAGCATGGCGTGCCAAGCAGTGCCATGTCAGTACCCGGGATCCGAACCGGTGAACCCTGGGCCACTGAGAAGTGGAACGTGCGCACTTAACCACTGCGCCACTGGGCCGGCCCCTATAGTCTTTCAACTTTAAATTTTGTGTTTTCTAAAGATAACTCAAGCACATCTGATAAAAATTTAGTACGCAGAGAATTTAGAAGTCTTCAAATGTGCAAAAAATGTAAAATATCACAGTGTTTTTATATTACTTACATGCTTAAGTGAATATTTCCCTTATAAACATGATTTACACATTCTACTGTACAGCAGTGGTTAAGATTGCCACCGGGGATATGACGCGAAGTAAAATGATTTATATGGTCAATATTCTTGAGCTTCCCTTAATGGATACTGGAGAAGTCTGAAGCTCTGGGCATCCTTTTAAGTTCTTACTGCTGCCTTATTCTTTTATTCCCACAGTGAATAATGAACTTATTTCTCTCTATCAGGCACTCAGTTGAGCGCACTAACTTATACAGAAAATGTCCTAGGCAACACTTTATTGGACAATATAGACAATAAAGCAATAAGTAACATGCCAATTCATAACTGATAAAAATGATTCAGCAGGTGAGAAAATAAAGGATGGGAGGGAGGGAAGGGAAGGGGAAATAATCATTAGGTCTTCCACATCTGACTCTAAAAGATAAGAAGTGTCAATGTTTTTCCAAAAGAAACTCAGAATACATTCAAGGACAGGGAAGCCCCCACAGGTCTTGGTTGGAAACACTCAGATTAGTAGGTCTGTGTCCTTGCCTTGCCTTGGGAAAGGGGTCATGCCATATCATACTTTGCCCAACATTTGTCTATTTTATGTTTCTTTTCAGACAACTACCTTTTCATTTTACTTATCAGTTCCATTTTCTAGCCACATGGCTTTTATATTTACTCACTTCTTCCACAGACTTTCTTCATGTTTAACTGCCTTTTCACATTCCTTATTTGAAGATTAATTTCTTTGTGCTAAAAATCGAGAACCTTTGGAGTGATGTCAGAATCATGGCAGAGTGAGTTGTTCCCTCTGTCTCTCTCCTCTAAGATACAAGCAGTAGGACAGACATCTGTAGACCAACAAAGTACTCTGTGCACAGCACACTAGAATGCCAGAAAAGTTCACACATCTATACATCTGAAGGTGGACTGACTGGACTTCCTGGATGTGGTGGAACCAGAGAAACAGTTGCAGCAGCCTCCAAGACTGAAGTTCCAGGAATTATGGCCACAGCTGGAGCTAGAGGCCCCTGGAACTGAGGTGACACTCATGAAAAGAAGCCCCAGGAATCCAGGCAGTGCATGCTCCTGTAGGCCCCAGGATGATACCTGTAAATGAGCCCCCTCCCACTACCCTGGTGGCAGCCCCATCTGACACTGCTCCTGCTAGCAGCAAGGGCTGAATCCAAGACCCTGCCAACCAGCAGTGGTGTAGCCCGTAACCTGAGATTCCAGGATTCCCACCAGCACCTGAGACCAGAGGCCGTAAGAGCCACAGTGGTGCCTTTGATTTAGACCCCAAAAGCAGTGCCCCCAGGAAGACGCCTGCCAGCAACAAGTGTTGCACACAACACCTGGGGACCCAGGCAGCAGTTGCAGTACCAGTAACCTGAGTTCAGGAGCTGCGTAGGCACCAGAAACAGAGACTCAGGGAGTCACAGTGGTGCTCATGACTTAGGTAACCATGCCCTTGGGGCAGTGGCGGTGCTAGCGTCACCAATAACCCTGTCCCACTCGGCAGCAGCAGCAATACCCACAAACTGAACACCCCCAGCAAGACTTGTCCAGTATTCTCAGAGAACCCGGGAGTAACAGTGCAGAGGGCACATGTGGCAGCGGTGCATGAGCCCATGGAGAGCATGCAGAGAGCCAGGCAACGGCAACAACAGGGCCCATAACCCTGGTGCCCTCCAGCTTCAGAAGCCCTTGCAACTTCAGGCCCCGACCATAGCAGGGGTGCCTGCAGACACCCAGATGTCACAGAGGTTGCCATGACCCTGGCTCCCACCCCACTTTTCCCATTACCCCCACCACAGTGGCAGAACCCACGACCTAGGCAACCCCAGAAGTAGCAGACGACCTTACAGTACAAGTGACCTTGGGGGTGACAGCCACAATTACACCAGTATCATAAGCGACAAGGTACCAGCAACCTCAGAGTCAACAGCAGCACAAGGTGGGCACTGAAAATTCCTGACAGATAGTGGAGGGTGGAAGGCTCTCGAATACAACCAGAAGTAGCTCAGAATCAAAATAAACAAAGACTTACCTAAGTAAGAAAGCTTTTTGGTACCCAAATGTGCCAGCAGGGGAACAACTCATCAAGCACTGTGAAAACTACAGGAACTCAGTACCATAAAAAGAAAATGACACTTTTCAAGAAACCTAACTTGCACTCACAGAAAACTGTGAACGAATGACAAAGAATTCAAAATAGCTGTCCTAAAGACACTCAATGGGTTAAAAGAAAACACAGGAAGACAGTTCACTGACCACAGGAATAAAACTAATGAACAAAAGGAGTGCTTCAACAAAGAGATTGAAACTCTAAAAAAAAAATGAACTTGGAAAACCGGCAGTGAAGAACACAATAAATAAGATTGAGAATAAAGGAGAAAGCATTGGAAATAGAGCAGACCATATGGAGGAGAGAGTTACTGAGCTCTAAGATAGAAATCCAGAAAAGATTCTGGGGGGAGAGGAGAGAGAATAAAGATATTCTTAAAATGGACAGATCATACAAGAAATATTTGACTCAGTTGGGAAAAGCAAAATAAGGATAATGGGTATCCCAAAAGGAGGAGAGAGGGAGAAGGGAGCAGAGAGCTTATTTAAAGAAATAAGAGCTGAGACATTCCCAAACCCCGGGGAAGGAACTGGATCTACATGGTCATGAAGCTAAGAGAACACTTAATTATCTCAACGCAAAAAGACCTCCTCCAAGACACATTATACTAAAAGTATCAAAAGTCAATTAGAAAGAAAGAACATTAAGGGTGGCCATAGAGGAGAAAATAACTTACAAAGGAATCCCCAGTAGGTTATCAGGGGATTTCTCAGCAGAAGCTCGACAGGCTTAAGAAAGAGTGAAACGATATACTCAAAATATTCAAGAATAAACACTGTCAGCCAAGAACATTCTATCCAGCAAGGTTATCCTTCACATACGAAGGAGAAATAATGGCTATCCCAGAGGGACAAAAGCTGAGGGAGTTCGCCACTAGACCTGCCTCAAAGAAATGCTGAAAGACGTTCTTCTATCTGAACATGTGACAAAGGTATAGAAAGCTTGCAGCAAGGTGATAAATACACAGAAAAGACACACAGAAAAAATTAACATAGTTAAAATGTCCATTGTACCTACAGCAATTGACAGATTCAATGCAATCCCAATCAGAATTCCAATGACATTCTTCATGGAAACAGAACAAAGAATGTTATAATTTACATGGAACAACAGATGACCCCAAATAGCCAGAGCAATGCTGAGAAAAAAGAAGAAAGGTGGAGTTATTACACACCCTAAATTCAAAATAGACCAGAAAGCTAGAGCAATCAAAACAGTATGGCAGTGGCAGAAAACCAGACACACAGCTCAATGGAACACAATTGAGAGCCCACAAATAAACCCACACGTCTACAGACAGCTAATCTTCAACAAAGGAGCCAAGAACACACAATAGAGAACAGAAAGTCTCTTCAATAAATGGAGTTGGAAAAGCTGGATGGCCACACACAAAAGAGTGAAAGCAGACCACTGTCTTATACCATACACAAAAATTAACTCAAAATGCGTTACAAACTTGAATGTAAGACCTGAAACCAGAAAATTCCTAGAGAAAAACACTGGCAGTCCGCTCTTTGATATGTCTTAGAAGTATTACTTTGAATATCATGTCTCAGGCAAGGGAATCAAAAGTGAAAACAAACAAGTGGGACGACATCAGACTGGAAAGCTTCTATTTGGGAAAAGAAGCCATCCACAAAACAAAAGGACAAACTGGCAATTGGGAGATGATATGTGCAAACCACATATCTGATAAGAGGTTAATATTGCAAATGTATTCATAAAACTCATACAAGTAAACAAAAAAAACCAAACCACCCAATCAAAAGACGCGAAGAGGCTATGAATAGATATTTTTCCAAAGAAGATATCCAGATGGCCAACAGGCATATGAAAAGATGTTCAACATCACTAGTTATCAGGGAAATGCAAATCAAAACTACAATGACATATCACCTCATGCCCAATAGAATGGGTATCACTAACAAGACAAGAAATAATAAGTGTTGGAGAGGATGCAGAGAAAAGGAAACCCTCCTGCACTGTTGGAGGGATTGGAAACAAGTACAAACTCTATGGAAAACCATATGGAGAGTTCTCAAAAAATAAAGAATAGAAGGGCTGGCCCAGTGGTGCAGCAGTTAAGTGTGCACGTTCTGCTTCGGCAGCTTGGGGTTCGCTGGTT